GTTACACAGATATATACATTTGTTAAAACACAAGGCTGGGCGCGGTGGCTCATGCCTGTAATCCTAGCACTCTGGGAGGCCAAGGCGGGAGGAGCACTTGAGCTCAGGAGTTCGAGACCAGCCTGAGCAAGAGTGAGACTCCGTCTCTACTAAAAATAGAAAAAATTAGCCTGGTGTGGTGGCACGTGCCTGTAGTCCCAACTACTCCGGAGGCTGAGGCAGGAGGATCACCTGAGTCCAAGTGTTTGAGGTTGCTGTGAGCTAGGCTGATGCCACAGCACTCTAGTCTGGGCAACAGAGCAAGAAAATAAATAAATAATAAATAATCACATGAAATTACGCTCCTAAGGTGTGCATTTTCATTGTATGGATATTTTACCTTAAAAAGAATCACAAATATTGAACTCTAGTAAATGACATGCATGCTGAAGTGTTTAAGGGGATGTGTATACATGTCCATAAATTTGAAATACATTTTAAAAAGATGGGTTGATGCATGGATAGATATATGTGATAAAGCCAAATGTAGTAAAATGCTAATTGTAGAATCTGGGTGGTTGACACATGGGTGTTCACAGTATAAGTACCTTGACTTTCTGAATATTTGAAAATGCTCATAGTAAAATATTAGGGGAAAAAAACAAGGGGTGTGTGTTAACATTTCTGGTACCTTCACAGCCACTGCCCTGGTTTAGACCCCACTGCATCTTAACTGGAATCTTGCAACCACCTTGACACTGGCCTCCATGCTAGTCCACTTCAGTCTCTCCCCACCCCAACAGTCACCAGAGAGAACATTCTGAAACATAAATCAGACCTCCGTGCTCCCATCCCTGTCAACCTCCTCAGCTTCATCCTTGACACCTGACACCCTACTGCAGCCTGTACTCCAGCTCAACTCAAGGGCTTGTAGTTCCATTCATACACCAGGCTACTTTATGACTTTCTACTTTCGCTTATGCTGTCCCCTTTGCTTGGAATGCTCTATTCCAACTCATCCTTCTGCCTTCCCTTGCCTAATTTACCAAAACTCAATCAGGGCCGGGCATGGTGGCTCACGCCTGTAATCCTAGCACTCTGGGAGGCCGAGGCGGGCGGATCGTTTGAGCTCAGGAGTTCGAAACCAGCCTGAGCAAGAGCGAGACCCCGTCTCTACTAAAAATAGAAAGAAATTAATCGGACAACTAAAAATATATAGAAAAAATTAGCCGGGCATGGTGGCGCATGCCTGTAGTCCCAGCTACTTGGGAGGCTGAGACAGTAGGATAGCTTGAGCCCAGGAGTGTGAGGTTGCTGTGAGCTAGGCTGACGCCACGGCACTCTAGCCCGGGCAACAGAGTGAGACTGTCTCAAAAAAAAAAAAAACAAAAACAAAAACAAAAACTCAATCAGGCATTACTTCTTCCCAGAAGCCTTTCCTGCTTCCCAGACTGGGTTGGGTCTCCTTTTCATGTAACATAGTATTTACTTGTACTTATTTGTAACATAGTATTTATCCCAGTATGCTATACGTGGGTTTATATGTCTGTATACTAAACTACAAGCTCCTTGAAGATCAAGCTCTCCAATAGCATGCACAGGGCCTGAACCAAAAGAGGCTTTGATAAACTACTGTAGAACTTAACAACTGATATTGAACTGGTATGGGTGACACATTGGCACCTTCTAACAACTTTGTGCCATAGACTTGGTTGTATCTCCTCCACAAGAGTTTAAAGTCTACCACCCCTATGGACTCAGCCATCTCCCTGTGGCCTTCAAACACCATCATCCTCAGGAAGCTAACTCAATTTCCTGCCCCAGTTTGAAATAATCTCTCCAATTCCTTTAAAGGTTTACTTTCTCTGTATTTCTTTTTATGAGATTATAAGCCTTGTTGGGCAAATTTTGACTGGGAAAAATTAAACTACATTCACTAATCACCTGAATGCCAGACATTGAATTAAATCTTTAAAGACATTAGCTACTAGAATTCCTCCTGACAACTCTATGGGGTAAGGATTATATCTTCATTTTACAGATGACAAAACTGAGGCAAGGAAATATGAAACAACCAGTTCAAAATCACATAGATGACAGAGCCAGATCGAATCACTGGTCATCTTAACTCCCAGGCATATCTTCTTTCCACCACAGCCCATTGTCTCCAGATTGGGCCAGTTTGTGGAAAGCCTTGAAGTGTGAAGTCATGGAATGTTCTTAAGCAGGAGGGAATGATAAAAATATTACAGAACTCTGGGGAGATATTCCTGAAAGGTTGGATATGACAGAATGGAATGGAATGTGGGGAAGGCTGCTGGACTCCTGACAAGGAAAATACAAAATGGGTGTTGTATCTTTATAACATTCATTGGTGAGTGCTGGCCTTATGATGTGGTCCTATGGAAAAGGAGATGACCTGAGAAGGTAAACTTATTTTAAGAGTTAAAAAGCTGAAAGGGGGATAGAGGAGTCTATCTTCTGTCTCTTTGGTTGTGTGCGTGGCTGACCCCATGGTCATTCTCCTGGAGATGTCCTGGGATTTCCACCCTTCATGGGATGTAGAAGTCTAGGAAAATGTCAGAGTTGACTGCACGGCTGCATGAAGGCTTCCTTAGGGAAGTGGCATTTGATGGGACATTAGAAGACGAGATAGTGCCTTCCGCTTCTCTCCTGTAGTAACTTCCTCAGCGGCCTCCCTGACTTCAGTCTCTCTCCCTCCTAAGCCACCCCCAAAGGGATCCTTTCTAAAAGCAACTTGGACCATGCCATTTTATGCTTAAAACCCTTTAATAGTTCTCTGTCACTCATGGAATAAGGTCACATCTTTTGACAACCATCAGCATCACATTATCTTCCATATCTGGGGTTTTAAAATAAATATTATGCCTAAAAACTAATCAATTATGATCAAATACCTCCTCAAACTACACATTCCCTCTTGGAGATTCTGCATATGTCCTCCCAGGTGAAAGTCACAGCTGCAGTTACACTAAGTTGCTTGCCCTTAACTATACACAGGTTTCCCCTCCATCTATTTTTATTCATGCTGTTGCCTTGGCTTGGAATACTCTTCCCACTGTTCTGCCTGACTGGCTAATTACTTTTCATCCTTTAGCTCAGGCATCACTAGACAGGAAGGCTTTCCCTGAATTCCCTGCTTCCCTAGGATGGATTGCCTGCTCAATATCCCCTGCTCATCTCTGTCAATACACTATACCATATGGTGCTCTTCTCCTCTATTTAATTTACTGGAGGGCAAGTGCCATTTCAGTCAATTTGGTGTGAACAGAGTTCTGATGGAGAGGCCTGTGTAAGTTGAGGCAGGGGACAGAACATGAGCAAGCAGAAATGGAGATCCGTATTCTGTACAAGGCTAGAGGTTCAGTTGGGCAATCAAAAGCATCCAGAAAGTTTAGGGACACTTCTAGAGGGCTCCAAAGTTGAGATAATTCCACCTGGCAAATGTAGAAACTGAGACACAGAAAAGAAATTTCCCCCACATTACTTGGTTAGTCATTGAGAAGGAGGGCTCTTAGCAACAAGTCTCATCCGTGTACTTTTCCACTCCATACTGGAAAAAGGGAAGACTGAAGTTGGATGCCTTATTCTCCTCCCAATTTTGAGATAGGAGCCTCTTATCTGCTGGCACCTCCTGCCTGAAATGAGGAGTAAGATGACCAAGACTCTAGCTTATCCTGTAACCTGAGGCTGGTGACAGTGCTTTGTCCCTTCGCTGAGGAAGATGGGGTGGGAATTGGTGACAAAAAGAACCCAGCCTACACTCCTGCAAAGGCTCAGAAATCCCTCCTCTTTGTTTTCTACAATTCCCCATGCCCCAGACATGGGCTTTCTCTTTCCAAACCCTGCCTAATACAGAGACGCAGATTGTGAAAACTGGAGGTCATTTAGCCAGGTGTCAAACCCAGACAGCCTCACCCCAGACTCACAGAAGCAGAATCTCCAGGAGGAGATCTTGATTGGGTTCAAAATCCTTTTACAGGTGACCCACGGAGAATAAGCAGCCCTGGGTCACACAGAGTCAGGGTGGTGGTGAATTTGGAACTGAGGTTCCTAACATCACCCTGGGGGTTCTCCTCAGGACATAACTCTCAATGCTGCATCTTACACACAACAGATAATAAAGATCTGTTAGGTGACTGAGCCTCCAAGGATTTTCTAATATGAAGGGGAAAGAGCATGAGTTTTGGAATCAGGCAGATCCTGCTGTGGAGGACCACTGGCAAGTTTCAGTCTCCTTAACTATAAAATTCAGCTAATTACCTCACAGGGTTGTCAGTGAGGATTAAATAAGATATCCTAAATAAAATCTCTAGCCCAATGCCTAGCACCCAAAAGGCACTTAATAAATGGTAGTGATTATCAGTGAGAAGTGGTAGAACAGACTCACTAGGTTGGTCCCAGAACGTACTGTATGTGTGATGTAGGAAGGTTACATTGTTTCCTCATCAATAGGATGAGGATGTTGGTGAGAATGAACCAAGTCAATATATATAAAGCACTAACAGCAATGCCTAGAACAAGGAAATAAGCGTGATGTATTAGCTCTGATAATTATATTCTATCCCTTGCACTGGCCCTAAGCACAGTAATCAAGTCCAGAATGTACCAACAAGTGTCTGGAGGAGATGTTAGAGAAAGGGAAAAAAAACCCACATTCACAGAGAGGATACAAGTGTAGCTAATAAAAACAGCACGTGGAAGCTATGGAAAGCCTTCCCATCGCACTTGTCAGGCCCCTTTGAATTGTTGCACCCTTTATTTTCTGTTCACTCTACTTATGATTGTCTGCTTCAGATGTGTGAAGTGTATCCCTTCTGAGAGCAGGGAGCCTGTCCCCTTCCCACCTCAGGTGTAAGGCTGGGCACCAGGGAAGTGCCCACTGACAACTTGCTGAGGGAGAGACAGAGAGTACAAAGACAAGGCAGCACTCCTGGACCCCACACCACACCACCACCACCACCATCACCACCACAAAAAGAAGACACCAAGCAAAGCAATTGCCAAGATAAATCACTTTTATCTCTATAGGAAAGGGAGGATCTAAAAAAAATATAAATTACATTAGTAACACAAGAAAAAACAAGGAAAAAAAAAACCAACAGAGAAGTCTGGATGATGCTACTCTAACCTATTTATAAAAAGGCCCTGCATCAGAAATTCACAATCCTACCCACTTCTAAAAATATATTTAGACATGTACAGAAGCAGTGGGCTTGTTTTTAAATTGTTTGCTTTTTTGTAAAAATATATTAAAGGTGAATAGAAATCCTCTCTCCCTGCCCCCTATCCGAACCCTCAGCTCTCTGCTGAGGATTGGAGATCAGAGGTAACTATCTCATCACGTTCTAAACCTTGGTTACTACCACTCCCAACCCCTCCCCAACTCACTTCACTTAAACCTGAAACAATAAGAAAACAAAAACAAAAACATTAGCCTCTTTGGAAAAGCATTAACTCTGAGGGTAAACTTGCTTTTCATTGGAAACAACACAAAACAAACAGGAGGCTCAACTAAATGAAACCCAGTCAAATGGAGGCTGGGTTTCAGTTCCACAGAAACTTCTAACAAAGAAACAGAGGTGAAAGAGGCCGGGAATCAGGGATTTGCAAGCAATTAGCTGCCTTTGAAAGATCAAGAGAGGCTGTTAATGGACAAAAGGGCTGGGGACCTGGTCTTGGTTATAGCAGTCAGTGCCTAGTCAGGCAGTTGCCTACACAGGGACAGAGGATTCTCCTGCTCTCCCCTCACTACCCTCTGCTGCCTTGAAATCCCCAAAATAAGCAAAGCTGGGTAGAAACAGAGAGGAGGGGAGTAGGGACCTCATGTGCTAGGAGGGAGGTAGCCAGGCTTTTTGCCTTTGGTGTGACTAGATGGAGAACTGCTTGGCCCCTGGGGTCCCCAAGGTAGAAAAAGCAAACGGGCTAAAGGAGCCCCTGATTCCAAGGAAGGAGTGGAGGCGGGGCTATGGAGAAAAGAAAAACAAACTGCAGACACAAAAATGACAAAGGAAGCCTCACAAATTCCCTGTGACCTGCATGGTAGCTGTTGAATTCCCCAGAAGCAGTGGGCAAGCTGGGGTGAGGTTGGAGTGGGTGGTAGAGGGCAAAGAAACACTCCACTTGGGCAGTGCCAAATGGAGGAGGGCCACTCTCCATCAAGTCCAGATTGCCAGTGAAGCAAGACAGGTGGGAGGTGGGGGCACTGTCTGGACAATGGAGACCATCCACAAAGGAAAGAGAGGGGAAGGGAGGATCAGATTTCTGCTCCTTCAAGAGATGGGCATCTCTTCTCCTTGGCTTGGGCTCTGAGTGGCCTGTCTGCACTTTGCTTGAATGGTGACCTGTCATCTGGAAGTGCGAAGGCCAAGGAGTGAAGATATGAGTCCTGAGGTCTTCTTCAGACCAAGACCTCAGTGGAGAAAGAAGCATAGAGGTTCCCAATGGAGGACCCAGGGGTAGGCTGTTCTGCCACATCCCCTCCAGAAGGTCCCGGCTGTGCTCTGTGGTATAGGTACAGGGAGCAGGCTGTTGGACCAGGGTTATCTGCTTCAGTGGCAGGTACTCTCAGGTTTCTGGGAGATGTTTTTCACCCGTTGGAGCCCAGCCACAGCCACGTGGATAATGTTCTGCAGGACCTCAAAATCCAGACAAATCCCTGGAGCTCACCAAGGGACTTAATGTGTAGCCAGCCAAAAGTAGCCTCCTCCAATGGGCTACAAAATCATGGTCAAAGGCTTGGGTGTCTGTCCTCTCTCCACCTTGAAAAGTGACAGGAATCTAGTTTCTTCTCAAGGATAAGTTTGGTCAGCCTTTCTAGGCCACCTCCGGAAATGGCCCACAGTGGGGCAGTAAGGAGACACTGGGCCCTCCTCTTTATTTCCATGAAGCATTTGGCAAGAGGGGGCAGGGACCACAGCTTTCTCCCAGGAATGAGTCTGGAGGTGGGGCACATCCACTGGACTTGGGGGACGTAGGGGAAGGAAGAATGGGTGGAGGTGGGTAGGCTTCTGGAGACAGGGCTGGAGTTGCAGAGTGTTGAGCCCTGGGCTTCCCACTTTGTGGCCAGAGAAATATCAAAGGGCTCAGGCTCTCCTCATGCCTCTCCTCATCCTGCCTTTCAGCTCTAGGGAGGGATAGGAATAAAGGACAGACAAGGCAGGTGAAAGGGAAATGGGCTGGAAGAGTAAAAAAGAGGACACTAGTCAGCTGGAAACCTCTCCATTTACCTGCTACTCAGAGGTATGGAGAAAAAAGGCAGGATGCTCAAATGAAAGTGGGAGAGGGAGTTGGGGGAGTTGGCAGAGGGGCCCATGGGGGAGTCCGTGCCTTTGGTCAGTCCCAAGAAAGCAGGACAATGCGCCTCAGCACCTCGTCTAGGGCAGATAGGATCCAGGAGCGCCCCGAGAGTTGACAACGGAGAAAGCAATGGGGGTGAAGGGGTGGGGGGTGGGACACAAGAGGGCTCACAGAAGTAGTTTGCCATTTCTGTGGATTTTCAGGATACGGCCGAGTCTCTGTTTTGCTGTGGCTAGGCCCTTTTTGGGACGCTTTCCTGTGGGGAAAGGGAAAAGTAAGCAAGGGCTATGGCAAAGGCTTCAGAAGCAACTCTGGCACCAACTGCCCTCAGGCCACCTCCCCTCCTCTGTTTCTCTGCCCACAAAGCTTCCCCATCCTTAGGCCATATCGGGCAAGAAGCCCTCCTTAACTACTTTCGTTCAACACCACCTTGGCTTTTCCTCTTACAACCTCCTGCAGCAGCTACAAACTCTCTGGTTACAGTTTGTCTGGTTCTTTTTCCCAACAAATTCTTTGATCCCAATCATTTTCCTTCCAAAATTCTGAAGGGAGGTGAATATGCTTCCACACCCTCTTATCCTGCCTACCAGGATTGGACAAGTGCCTGGTTAGTGATTATAGCTCAGTGTCCCTGAAGTTGCCATCCCCAGGGCCTTGTTTCAGTAGAAACTTCTACCCTCATCAACCTTCAATGTCACACCAACCCTAGCACCCTTGAGCTACATACTCTAGGAACTGGACTTTAAGGGCTAAAGTGAGGGAAAGGCAGGTTTGAGTCTCCTAACTCTCTCTTCCCTCTTTCTCTCTCCCCACATCAAATCACCTCCCACATCCCATTTGATCATCTTCACATTTAATCAGTTTACCCCTTCCCTCTCCATTCCCTCTGCCAGAGCCTTAGCCTCTTTTTATTCCTGCCTGAACTTATATATGTACCTTTCTAGAATTCTCACTCTGGCCACCAGAAAGATCTTTCTAAACTCAAACCTAATTCTTGTCTCTACTTAAAATCAGACAATGTCTCTCCACGGCCCATAAGATCAAGTCCAAGCACCTTAGTTTGGCCTTCAGTGTCCCTCCCTAGTATTCTCATCTACTAGAGCACTTAGGATGTGGAGCAGGTGGCCCCAAGATCCCTCAGTTCTACAACCATATGGCTGTTGTACCTTGTCCTGCCTGATTGCTCTGGGAGCCAACTGAAGGGCGCCGCTGGGTCAAGAAGACACCGGGGGCCATAGGTGTGGTGCTCCGGTTTGCCTGGGCCATGCCAAAGGCATTGGGACGAGCAGTATACTCGTGGTCAGCAAGACTTCCTGACAGGGCCTCTTGTTTAGGCTCAGGAGGAGGCAGGGGTGAGGAGGAGGTGAGAAGCTGTGGTGTAGTGGCCAGAGTTGGGGCTGGTACTGTCACACTGAAATGGGAGTCTTGAGGGTGAGGCTGTTCCACCTCCTTCAGCAAAGGCTTCTTCTTGATATATTTCTTCTTTTGGGCCTTCTGAAGCTCCTAAAACACAAACCAAGTGCAAGGAGAGATTCAGGAGTAGAGAAAAGAAGAAAATCTCCCAAAAAAGGAACTAGACAATGGTCACTATGGTTCTACAACCCACCAACCCCTCTCTACCCCCACCAAGTCTAGCCTGGATATACACACACATAGGCCTTCCAATACCTGAGGTCATCTCTTTGGTACCATCCATCCTTAAGCCATCATGCCACTTGTTAGTACAATGGCAAGAGAACTGTAAATGAGTTTGGAGACTAGGGTTTTGGCCTAGCATTGCCACTAATGAGGTGGACCATGGACATCTCTAATAATACTAACTAAATTTAGAACAGCAGCAGAGGCACTTTATGTACTTTATCTCATTTAAACCTCATAACAGCCCTAAGAAGGAAAAACCCTTATTTTACAGATGAGAAAATTGAGGTGCAGGGATATTAAGCAACTTAAACCCAAAGCCTCACAGCTGAAAAGTAGTTAAGTCTAGTATTTAGCCAGGTCTATATGAAGACACACTCTGCAAACTTCTGAAAACGGAATATCTTAGAATAGAAAGATTATTAGCTTTGGAGTGACATACCAGGGTTCAAATCCAGGCTTGTGCTCCCTAAATTGGATGATTTTAGTCACAATTACTAACCTTTCTCAATCTCATCTGCCTCATCTGTAAAATGGGTAAAAAAAAAGTCTGTTTTCAGGGTTGTTAGAAAGGTTAAATAATGATGTAAAGATAGCACATAGTAGGTACTCAATAAGTGGTAAATTATTATTCTATCTTCATCTCTTATAGTGGCTTCTCTTCTTCTTGCTGGTCTTTTTCTTTCAGCAGAGGATGTAACAATCCTCTAGGTCACCAGGTCTAAAAACCTTAATTTTGGATGGGACAGACAGGTAAGGAGTTGGGTCACTTCTACCAATACCTTGAATTTCAGTCATCCATTGCTCTACAGATCTACTATCCACTGCATAGCGGGTACCTGTATGGTGGGCATCTGGAGCCCTGAGAACCTGGAAAGGTGGTACTGAGGAGCATATGAACAACTTCACCTTATGAAATGCTACACAGCCACACAGACCAACTCAGTGATTACATTACTTTGCCTTCTCTTGCAACACAGGCCTACTCCTGCCTTCGGAAGAGATCTGACAGGCTGTGGCTACCATAGGAATTTCTGGTGGATAAGAATAATAATATTAGTAATACATGCCATTGAGTAATGAGTAATACTATAATTACTCATTTAATACTAATAAGAACCTGAGAAGTAAGAATTATAATCCCATTTTGAGGATGAAGAAACTGTAGCACAGAGAGGATAAGTCATTTTTCCCAAGGTTATAGGATCAATAAGTGGCCAAGCCAGGATTCAGATCCAAGCCATTTGGCTTCAGAATCTCTTCCCTCAGCCACACTGCTACTCCACCCATACCAGGAACTACATTTCTATCCCCTTCTCTCTCATCTGACTCCACAAATTACCTCTTCATATCTAGGATCACTTAGCCTAAATTTTCCTACCTTTCTTACCAATCTCTTTTACATATAATTTATCCAGACACCCCCACAGATGACTAGACCGTCTTAAGATAGGACCACTTTCACCTTGCCAATTCCCTTCTCTAGAATCTGTTAGCAGGACCCCACTCACGTTCAAATTCCCTGGCCTGACATTCATGGTCTTCCACAGTCTGGCTGCTTACACCTAGCTAACATCCATAATGATAACAATGAAAAGCTAACATGCCTATAGTACTTACTCTGTACCAAGTGCCATTCTCAGAGCTTGTACATATATTACCTCATTTAATCCTAAGGCAAAGTCTATGAGGAAACTAAGGCAAAGAGAAATTAAGTAACTTGCCCAAGTGGTAGAGCTAGGATTCAAACCTAGGCAGGTTGGCTCCAGAATCCATTCTTTTAACCAATATTTATTTTACCCTATCCCCCAGCATGAATTCTCCATTCCAGAAAGATCTGTTCATTCATTCATACACTCACTCACCCCAACACTGACTAAACACATATGCTTACCATAGGGGGGATTTCAACTTAAATATATCCCCACTCTTGAAGCATTTATAAATTTAAGGGACAAAGAAAAATACACTTATGATCATAAGTACCATGAGAAAATGCTATGGAAGCAAAGAATGCAGCCACTGAAATACAGTGTGGTAGGTGGTGTAAAGGGCTGTTAGGTAAGCCATCTGAGAGAGTATGATTCCCAATGGGCTGAAGGAACAGCTTGTGCAAAGGCACAAAGGCATGAGACAATCTGATAACATTGAGTGAACTATGAGTACTGTAGTATAGTGTGGCTGGTATAAAGAGTATGCATGAAGGGCTGGCGGTAGGTCAGGGAGGAGAGGTGACCTAGAGACCAGATCAAGAGAGCCTTGTATACCATACCAAGGAGCTCCCTTCTGGAATGTCTCCCTGTCTCCAACCAAAAGTTTAGCCTATAAAACTCCTCCCCAATTTCAAAACCTCTTCTTTGAGATTGTCTCTGATAAACCCAAACAGAATTGATCTCCTTAAAAGGTACTAAGAGTAGTTTTCACACCTTTAAGTAATTTATCCATTTATTTAAAGCAGTAGAACCCCTTTTTATTAAATTACATCTTACATGGCACCGGGATATACATAACATAGAGAAGTTCTGGCCAAAGAAGGACTACCTGGCCTTCTTGGTCTGTTGGCTCCCAACAATAGCCTACAAGACATTTCTAAGCAACTCTAGCACTCCAGAGAACATCATATGAAAAACATCATTCTATTAAATTTTATTTAAATAGGATTTAATTACTTAATTATATAACATTTAACTATTTCATTTTATTTAAATAGCAAATAACATAAAATTTGAAGTTAAAAGATATGAGTTTGAATCTTGTCTCCTCCATTTACTGGCTGTATTATCCTGGACTAGTCACTTAAAGAGAGCCTCATTTTCTTCACCTGTAAAATGATGAAAATATCACCTATTGAACAGGGCTACTGGGAAGATTACATGAGACATTGTACATGGAAGTACCTAACATAAAGCAGATGCTCAGTATTGCTCTAAGCTGTAGGATGTGGCATGAGCAGCTAAGGAGATGTTGGTAAGGAGAGAACCAGAAGATTCACCTCCAAATGCTCCTAGAGTTGCTTACCACATTACACACATTAAAGAACTTTGTAAACTGTAATGCTAGGAGGTGAACCTGATTTTAGTGCAGATGACCCTTTAGGACAAAAAATAGTGGGCGAAGTTTTCTTGAAGAGCAAGGGATGAAGATCAAGATAATATTATTTGGTAAAGAGGATAAGAAAAACCTCTAATAGAGCAAATTCCAATACTGCTGGGTGGCTGAAAACTTGAGTGTACCCAGCTAAATTGCTTCCTCAGGACTTTATCTGAGTGAGGGCAAAGGATGGACCTGATCCTTCCCAACAGAAAGGTTTTTACACACCAAGAAAGGCAAATGGTATCTGTAAGGGTTTTTCTCTAGTCCCATATTTTCTTTCATCCCAAATCTTGTCAATTGTGTGATGTATAGCTTGTCACTGAGTTGGGATGTAGATATAGATGGGGGGCTGGGGTACTGCCAAGGATAAAGATTAAAGGTTACCCAATCCCCACTAAGACAATGGTGGGATCCTATCGGCCTGAAGGCCAGAGTTTTGAGGCTCTAAGTCAAACTGCAATCACTTGCAGGGCCACTGCCTAGGGTGCCAACACCTACCTGCTGGGCCAGTTTTGCAGCTGCTGCAGCCAAGCCTGTCTCAATGGAAGCTACCCGGGTCCCCTCACGCACAGGACGGTCCTGCTTTGGTAGAGTTGGGGTCACACGGGCTGCAGGGGAAACAGAATGAGAGAGTGTCACTCTCTAAGACATTTATCAGAGTGTCAACCATATTCCCCCTCTCCAAGCTCCCCAGAGGTGGTCTCATTAGTTTTCCTGCTTCTAGCTTTTTATAAAGCCAGATTTTGCTTCCTATCAGGTAAGAAGCTAATTCACAAGTGCCCAAAGCACACACGGATTACAGGATAAAAATTTAACCTCCCCGAATTGGCATTTAAGGTTGTCCATGTTCTGCTCCTGGTCTACCTACCTCTTCAACCTTATTTCCACATCCATATTCTCAGCTTCTCCAGACAAATGGCTTCTTTTTATACCTCCAGAACATGTACAACTCATCTTCTCTCCCTGTGCATTCATTCTCACTATCTACACACAGTCTACAGTACCCTCTTCCTTTCTGTCTGCCTATTCAAAGCTTCCCATCCTTCAAACCTGCCCAGGAAATCAACCTCCTAGGCAAAACCTCTAGGACTTCTATGGTCCCACTGAACTCTCTTTCCTCTGAACTCATGATCTGTACAAATTACTTGATACATAGCACATACCACCTTGTTTCATTCTCTAATTTTGATGTGTGTTACTTTGTCTACCAAACAGGCTATGAGTTTCTGAAGAAGACCATCTTCTTGTATAACTCTTATGGTGCCTTACCAACCTTGAATCAAAAAATACTCATCCCACCTTTCAAAAGAAATGTATTTCAGGATAACCAAACAGCCCCAGATGGTGAAAGACAGATCTTCTTTACAGAAAATGCCAGCTAATAAACGTAGAAGGAATGACAGAATTAGAAAATCACAAGTGTGCAAGTCCTAATGAAACAACCGATTCTAGGGAATTGGATATTCACACAGTACCAATGTATTACCTCACAGATTACTTGCTAGTACCAAGAAGAAAAACCTTACAATAATGAGTTCAAGGGATCACTACCATAACTAAGTATTAACTTTAGTGTCATTAATACACAGCACAACTTCAAGCACTTCCTGATGCAACACAATAGGAAATACACAGCATCACCTGAGAAGTAGGATTGTTAAAGAGCTAAAAAATCAAGCAAGCCATTCATATTACTTCCAGTGTTTAGGAAACACAGGGATAGAAAAACAAGTTAAATGACACCATGAGAAAACAAGCAGACATTCTACAAAGTAACTGGCTTAATCTCTTAAAAAAGACAATGTCACAAGGAGGCAAGTAGACAAGTCTAGAAGGTGGGACACACTACAGGGCAATTACACCAGTTTCTACAACAAATCAATAGCATAAAACAAAGCGGGGACTGCTCTAGATTGAGAGACATAAAAGACATGACAGTCAAATGCCATGTGGACCCCGTTTAGATCTTGATTTAAACAAATCCATTTTAAAAATACCCTTTGTGGTTAGACAATTTAGGAACTTTGGTTAAGGACTTGGAATTAGGTAACATCAAATAATTATTGAATTATCATTATTTTTTTATATATAACAGCATTGTGGTTATGTGAAAAATGTCCATATTTTTTAGAAATACACAGTGAAATACATCAGGGTAATGACATAATATCTGGGGTTTGCTTTAAAGCAAAAAAAAATTTAAAGAAAAAACAAGTGATAGATGAAGCAAATATGGAAAAATCTTGATAACTGTTCATTCTCACTGGTGGATATATGAGAGTTCACTATACTATTCTATTTTAAAGAAAAAAGCTAATGTCACAGAAAAAAAGGTGTGGTGGTAGTGCTGACCTAGATTTAAAAACTCGTTGATTAGCTATTGCTATTATAAAGGAAAATTTCTGGATAACCAGTACGTAGAGTCTAGAATAGGCAACTCAGGAGGCTGAAGTTCTTTCTTCAAAGGTAACATTTTGTTTGTTTAAAATATGATCCAAAGTAAATCTAACAAAAGTGTCTGTGTATAATTTTGGGTCATGGACACTTACATATTTTTTATACTGTTCTCTATAGTTTTATATGTGTGGTGGTTTTAAAACATGGCCCCAAATTCTTTGATACCTTTCCTACTGATAGGTGGGGTCTGTGTCCCTTTCTTGAATCAAAGGTATAAGTGATACTGTGTGACTTCTGAGGCTAGGTCAGGAAAGGCAATTTCAGTTCCCACACTGCTTGCTGGAATACTCACGCTTGGAGACCCGAGCCACCATGTAAAAAGTTTTATTGCCTTGACTGCCTCACTAGGCAGTGAGGAAGCTAGTTACATGGAGAGCCCACATGTTGGCACTTCTGGTCTTTGAGTCCTCCGAGGCCAGGCACCAGACATGTAAGTGAATGAGACTTTAGGTGATTCAAACTCTTGGCAACCAAGTCACCCCAAGCCTTCATAGTTTTTCCAGCTGAGACCCCAGACATCATGGAGTAGAGACAAGTTGTCCTCATTGTGCCCTTTCTAAATTCTTGGCCCAGAGAATAAACGAACGTGAGAAAGCGGTGGTTGTTTAATGCTGGGGGGGGAGCCCTCCTTGGGTTTTTTTTGGTTTGTTTTTTTGTGGAGGGGGAGCTATAATAAATATTTTTGGGGAAGAGTTGGGAAAATTTGGTTATGGACTGGGTGTTAGAAGATCTTAGGGAATTATTAACTTTGTTAAGCATAAAAAACATAGTGTGGTTACACAGGAGGGTGTCATTCTTAGGAGATACTGAAGTACTCCTGGGTAAAATATGTTATGATGGCTGCGCATTACTCTGAAGTGGCTCAGCAAAAACTATAGACAGATAGATAAATGAAGGAACTACAGCAAAATGTTACAATTATAGAATCTGGCTACTGAGAATATGGGTGTTCATGTGTACTATCCTTCTACTTTTATGTATGTTTGAAATTTATCATAATACATTTTAAATAATGAACAAGACTAAGAGATCATAATAACCAAATGTAATATGTAGGGTGGGAATGGATCTTAGTTTGAAAAAGCTAATTATAAAAGATACTTTTGGTAAAACTGGGGGAAATTTGAATTATTTGGCATTCAAATTGAAGTATTTGATATCAGATGATATTAAGAAATAAATGTAACTTTGCTTAGGTGTCATATAATGGTACTGTAGTTATGGAAGAAAATGTCATTTTTAAATAGATGCATACTGCAATATTTAGGATGAGATGTCATTATGGGTGACATCAATAAAAATGGCAAAATAAGGACTTCCAAAAACTCATTCCTCAATAAAAACAAAGAAAAACTAGAAAAAATTGTCAGAATAAATTTTTTCAATAACTCTGGAAATTAACCAAAGGCTTGTAGCAATCTGAATCTCAGTAAGAATAATGAACTTTGTGGCATTTTAACTTGCCCTACACACATCCACCTTTCCTCAGCTCAGTGGTAGCATTGAAAAATAACAGTCCACATTCCCAGTAATATACTAAGCAGAAAGGAGCTGGGACTTTCTTTCAAAGCATAGTGCTAAAAGCCTCTCACTCCCTGGGAGGGAATTTATAAAAAATGTTGAAAGGAAAGTGTTTATGTCACAGCTGCTTAAAGATGAGGGATAACAGTTGTGGCCAACAATTGATTGACCCTAATGCTTAAAACAAAGCTGAAGAATGACATGTCTATAGAGGATTCAAAAAGCTCCCACACATTTCTGAGAATCTAGAAAGCCACATGCAGTGTAGAGACTATAAGACTTGAGAAGGCCCCAGGCACTCACCTCTGCCTGACTTTGAGAAGTCAAAGTCTGCAAAAGCAGGAAGTGAAAGCTAAGGCAGAGTTGTAAATTGCCTAGCTGAGTGTTAAAGGCATGCCCCAATACGCACAACAGAGCTACTTAGCATGTACTAGATTCATTGGTTCCAGACATTTAAGGAAATCTCTGTTTAGTCATTAGATGTCTACTAAGCTAAATAAGTAGAGACACCAGTGGCCAGACACAAAAGGTATACAGACTTTACAGAATTAGTTCAGAAAAATCACTTAACAAACAACAACTACAACAAACAGCAACAACAATAAACCTTGAGGACTGGAGTGGGGAAAATCTGATTTCCGAAGTTGCTACCATATTTAAAATGTTCAGTTTTCAACAAAAAATCATAAGACATACAAAGAAATAAAGTATAGCCATACACAAGAAAAAAGCAATCAGTAGAAACTGTCTTTGACTTCCTAGACAAAGTTGGACTTACCAGACAAGGACTTTAAATCAGCTATTTTAAATGCTTTCAAAGGCTAAAGGAGACTATGTCTGAAGACCTACAGGAAAGTATAAGAATGATGTCTTACCAAAAAGAGAATACCAATGGAGACAGAAATTATAAAAAGAAACCAAATAGTTAAAAAAATAAAATAACATGCACACTGACGAACAACCATAAAAAAAAAGTAAAATAGCTGAAATGAAAACTTCACTACAGGGTTTCAACAGAAGATTTGAGCACGTAGAAGGAAGAATTAATTAGTGACCTTGAAAAGATATGTCAACTGAGATTATTCAGTCTGTGAGCAGAAAGAAAAAAAGAATGAAGAAACATGAACAGAGCAAAAGGGACCTGAAGAATATCATCACGTTTATCAACATATGCATATGGGAGTCCCAGAAGAACAGAGAAAAGGGGGCGGGAAGATTATTTGAAGAAATAATGGCTAAAAACTTTCTAAATTTGAAAAAAAACAATCTATACATTCAAGGGCTCAATAAACTCCAAGCTGGACAAACTGAGAGAGGCCACACGTCATAACCAAAACCAAAGACAAAGACAGAATCTTCAAAGCAGCAAGACAGAAGTGACTCATAACATAAAAGGGATTCTCAATAGAACTGACAGTTTATTTATCGTCAAAAACCATGGAGGCTACAAGGCAGTGAGATGACATATTCAAAGTGCTAAAAGAAAAACACTATCAACCAAGAATAATAAATCCAGAAAAACTATCCTTCAAAAAAAGAAATCAAGACATTCCTAGATGAACAAAATCAAAGAGTGTGTTGCTAGCAGATCTGTCCTATAAGAAATGCCAAAGGGCAACCTTCAGGACAA